AGCGACGGCGTGTACGCGTAACAAGACTGCAAATACGTGTCCTCACACGACGTCGGTTTCCGCCGAAATGCCTGAGAGAGCAGCGTCGTCAGGCGAAGACCCGTGGGGCTGCGAAGTGCGAGGGAGAGGGTGAACGAGAGCGAAGGCTAGGAGAGGAGGGGGAAGAGAGCGAGCGATATGGGGAAAGAGCGTGCAGCGGGGGAGAGGTCGAACCAGTCAGGAGTGGAGTGTGTGCCGACGACTGTGGCGCGAATAGCGCTAAACGTACTACTACCAGATCCCGGCTCGCCTCTAGCACGTCCAACCTGGCTTTGTTCAAAAATGAAGATGGCGCGGCTTTGAAATCCGATAAATTCCTGATTGGCCGATCTCATCATCACCCGTATTTCAGTGCAATCGCCAACGAGTCACGATTTTATAGTGGCGCACGATATTCCGCGACTTTCCGAAGGGATTTCACATTTAACGCGGCTACTCCGGGTATAAATAAAATTAAAACTCGCGGAGGACGAGGGGTTCGAGAGTTCGTGGCCCGAGCGAGACGTCCGGTTCGAGGCTACGTCGCTCGATTCAAATAAGCCTTGGCGCTGCGAATCCTTCTACGTAGGTTTCGAGAGGATCTCGCGTTCGCGAGAAATCGATAGACATCCTATCCGGACGTGCAAACGACCACAAATGACCGCGACACGATCGAGCGAGGAATGGACCGAGGTCCGATCCTACTCGTGCCGAATTTCACGTCGCGATCGTGCGTTTCTTACGCACGCAGGCCAAACTCGTGCGCTAATTGTAACAACTTTTCCAAAATTCTTGCCGATAATGCTTAAATGATGTTTCTTCATCAATGTAATTATATCGCGTGCCCCATTCGAATAAAGCACAAAAGGATGATTATTTTTCAGTTTACTCTACCATTATTAACTATATTTTTTTTTATTATTATTATGCGTCAACGAAAAATAATTAAAATAACACATTTCAATCTTTGAAAACAACACGCATATATATACATTTTTTATTTATTTATTTTATATATATATACATATATATATATATATATATATATGTATATATATACACACACACACTATATAGTGTTTCTTAAACAGCACCCAATAATCGTACAACGCTACTCCTAACAAAAAGTTTAATGGAAAAGTCCTGAGCCGTTTTTTTCAACGCTCGATGATACAATTATTATTAAATATAAAGCTAATCCAATCGTAAAAGTAAAGATAGTCCAATCGCCGCTGTTCTTTGAATGGGCACACGTCAGTGAGTCGCGCTCTTAATAATGTGTGCGCTTACGCACATTACCAAGCACGCCGCGGCTCACTTACGTGTGCCCAACTAAAAGCCGACGCCGATTGGATTATCTTTACTCGGTAATAATTGCTTCGTTGAGCATTGTAGAAAAAATGACTCGGAACTTTTCGATTCAATTTTTGATTAGGGTTAGCGTTATATATACCATAATATAGGTTTGTGCGTGCCGCATGTTTCAATATGCCCGTACCGTAGCTCCTACTCACTCTAACGGACGAGTTGAAGTGAGTAGGAACTAGGAACTTTAGGAGTATATTGGAGCATGTTGGAGCACGCGACGCGGACAAATCTTCTGATTAGTGAGCGCTATTTAAGAAACGCGCGCGCGCGCGCGCGCGTGTGTGTGTGTGTGTGTGTGTGTGGGTGGTTATACAGAAATATATATTTGTTGTTTAGTTCACGTGTACACATATAGCTACTGCGTGTAGACCACCAGTTGTATGTATACACACATTACTTGTTCATCGCATAAGATTATTAAATAGATAAGTTAATCGTTAGACCGGATCCACCGTGCAAAGTTGCTCGTTTATTTATATCCGATGTAACGCGAATAATGAAGGGTAGCTTAATATAAAATTGCACTTATCGATTGGGTATTTTATACAATTTTGATGCCAGTTGTGTTATGGCGTAAATCCAATAGTGGTTACACGGAGACCTTACTAATTGCACACTAAACCGCAAGTGTTTCCTCTCGCAATGATGTCGTGCGCAGTTGGAATTCGTAAATATTGTAGCATCGGTCGTATTATTAATAATTATGTATGTGTAACGCAAAAAATATACTTCAAGGTTTCGGAATTTATTGCAACGCAATGAGAATAAAGCGCATGCTCAGTGGCGCGCTATGTGGCTGCTGTACGCACTATAGGCGCCACGATTTCCGGTCGAACTAAATCTCCCTTTTCTTTCGATACGTGACAAGATGGTAGGTTGATATGTGATTTTCACAAGTTTTTATCCGTGAATATTCAAGAAATCTTTAGAATCTTTCACTTCACGAAATAGCGTTTACAATTCTAATTATATTTACCGCAATTTGGTGTGAATATCTGTTGTACAGTGCAATAATTCGATGTGAGGAGACATAACCTATTTATTCGGAATTATATAGTACGAAACGTTTTTACTCTACGCAACACGCGATGATGCGTATATTTACTCGAATTATTTATAAGGATTGGAAACCAGATTGATACCTCGAAGATTGATTACTTCGTCATTCTACAGAATAACGTACAAAAGTCTTAGAATTTTACATGGTTCTTTATAGGTTAACGTGCCGAAGCAAAGGCGTACTTTTTGCAAAAAATGCAAGGTACACAAGAATCATAAAGTGACGCAGTACAAGAAGAGTAAGGAGAGACATGCCTCGCAGGGCAGAAGACGTTACGACCGCAAACAGCAAGGGTTCGGTGGTCAAACAAAGCCCATCTTCAGAAAAAAAGTAAGTGCATGATGACAAGTTTACAGAATAAATCCGATAGAAATAATAAATTATATTTATTTAATGATATAACACAGCGAATAAAGTTATTACTACATCTTTTATGCAAATTCAGATGTATACATTATATCTGTTCTTTTTGCTAAACTAGTTGTATATTTTAAAATTATTAAGTAAATATAAGTATTTGAAGTTTGGCAAAAGTATGAAAGGAAATGTTAGAGCAATCTGTTCCAGTGCAGTAACAAAAAACAGACTCTTTAATTCATTATAATGTTTTTCAAGAATATTATAATTTAGTTCATAACAATAATGGAAGCATATCAATTTTTACTAAATATATTTTCTTACATTATTTTAGGCAAAAACAACAAAGAAAATTGTACTAAGAATGGAGTGTACGGAATGCAAATATAGAAAACAAATTCCATTGAAGAGATGCAAGCACTTCGAATTGGGAGGTGACAAGAAGAGAAAGGTGAATATCAGTACATCTGGAAAATATTCAAATAAAAATGAAACATGCATAAATTCTGACTGACAATCTACTATTTTTTATTTTCAGGGTCAAATGATTCAGTTTTAAGCTACTCAATACTTTACATTCTGTATTTAATAAATAAATAAATCAAGGATTTATACATGTCTTTATTCTGTATTTTATAATGCAAAATCGTTCAATATAACTAAAATAATTAGTGATACAACATTAAAATAATTACCTTAATATTCATTCACCTTGATTCTCATCATTTTCTGACAACCGTGCAGAAACTATTTGTTGTGGATTACTAGCAAAACAGAAAAAGGAGTAGAGTATTTTAACTGCTATGCTATTTTATACTATGTATAAATTGAGGTAAATATTTGTGTATAGTAATTATTTGTCATAAAAAACAAATTAAAAATTATATGGTCAATATTTAAGTGTGACTGTTAATCTTGCCATTTAAAATTGAAAGTAAATATGTGTTATAATTAATCATATTAGTATATAAATGTAATAATTTTTCTAATAAGAAAAATATCAAGATTTACCTTAATATAGATGCATCCAATCCTTCTTGTTCCATTTTTAATTGAACTGCTTGTTTTGGTACGCCAAAGTATAACATTTTAAAGTATTTTTCATAGCGTGGATCTTTAGCTGCAGATTGTATTTCTTTCTGTTCGTCTTTGGACTCTATCTCACTATTATCAGGTTCATCTACTTTACATATTTCTACTAATTTACTTGTATTATCCTCATTAACATTATTTGATTCTTTATTATGTTCTTGTTCTAAACCAGGTATAGAAGATAACTATACAGAGACAAAGTAAAATATTTGTGAAAAGATAAATACATTCTATGCGCAAAGATAATTTATTGTAAAAGATTTTTTCTTTTACAATTTCTTTTTATGCACCTCGCAAACACACGTACCCGCGATTCTAATATTTCTAACGACGCCTCCAACTTTTGCAACTTATTTTCGAAATCAAACAATCTCTCCTCGCAGGATAAGGCGAATTTATTCAAGAATGTGACGGTATGAGTAATAAAATGATTTATGAAGGAGACCGTTCGTTTTTGGTTGATTGACGGTACCTAGAACACAAATCATTTGAAGTCTGCTCCCTGCATTATCGTGAAGTGATTGTCAAATTCGGCCGATTACGTATACATGCACGAGAAACGTCAAAATTTCATCGACACCTTTGCATAATCTATAGTCGGTTCGATTAGAGGTATTTTATAATCACTCATCATGGATTACAGTCGTACAGAAATTTCCTCTTTCAATTTATCAGTCAATTTATCAACAACTATCAACAGTGATAACCCACATCATGCAAAACATCTCAGTACACATTTTCTAAGTCAATGAAAATGTGACACCATATTCCACCATATTGCTATAATTAAGGTGCCTTTTCATGTTAACACTCGACGCTTATTTTTAGCGTCAAAATAAGTCGCGATCAAAATTGACGATTCATATTTGTCAATTAAAACATTATTTAATAACAAAAATATTAATTTTACTTAGGAATTTAGAAGAATATAACCAAAGATAAACACATCTAAAGAAATAGATGAAGCTAAAAGCCGTAAGTTTTTATTATTAATTATTTTGATGAATTACATTAAATATGTTATTGCCCATACAACACTGATTATTGAGGAACATTTTCAGAAATGTTTCAATCTTTCACATCTCATGTGCAACAGTTCTGAAAAGATTCTGTAATATGTCATATAAAATGTTTTAACAGAAAAATGTTTCTAAAATCTATCAAATCTATGCAATAAATTGAAAAATCAAAAAATCATTATGATGTTAAAATCCAAAATGTTTACTAAAAATAATTTTTTTGGTCAATCACAATTCGATTTAACATTATTTTGATGTTAATGTGACTTGTTTTACTTTAAGGTCGGTATTCATAGTCGGTTCTTATTTTAAGACCATCTTAAGTAATGTCTTAAGTCGCTAATGCGGTCTTCTGATTGGTTCGTGACTTCTTAAGACTGTACTTAAAACAGTCTCGAATATAAGATCTGACTATGAATACCGGCTTAAGGATGTATTAGACGTACAATGCAAGGAAAACTAATTTGGAAGTATATTTAATATTTACACTTTAAATAAACTATATATACATATAAAAATTGTGTTAAGAAGATTATTGTTTAATAACACATTTTTGTAATTTATTTATTTTATTGTTATTTTTATTATTAAAAACAAAAATTTTAAAAATTATAAAAAAATTACGTTTTTTTTTATAAGTACTATAAATATTCAAAGTAATTTATGCAAAGTTTTATTGTGATTAATTACAAACATTTACTGATTAGTTACAAAGATATAAGACTGGAAAGGATACGGGCAGTAGAAGTCAACCGCAGCAGACGTCGCGCAAATAATATATCTATGAAATGTGAAACTTCTTTATTCACTAAAACGCGCCACTAGCGCTTGATTCCTACTGCCTGTATCTTTTCTAGTTCTTTGATTTATAAGGAGTTTTGATTTGTAATACGAATTTCATAATTTTGTTATTATTTTGAAAATATGTACAAAACATCCTTAATTGCGAAAAACTTTTGTATATGAATGACTTGTTCTGCTTTAATTACGAAAAACTTTTGAATATGAATAATGATATTGTATGGAAACTGCAGTAGTTTAATAGTGATTAGGTATTTATGTGCTTACACATATATTATGATTAATTAATCAAAATGGTTGGCGGTATAATTATTATTTTTAAGAAATACTTTATTTTTAAAAAAATCTGTAAACAGATCACAAAACTTTTAATAATTTTCAAGTACTCCAGAAATTATATTTAAATATATGTTTTTAATTGATACACATTTAAACAATATTTAAATTCATTATATCGACATAATAAAATTAAATATTATTTAAGTATCAACCAAGTATATATTTAAATATCATTTTTGTAATATTAGAAATAGCTGAAATCTTTTTAATAATATTTTAAAAAGATTGCAGATTCTTTCTGTAAGTTGACGATTTCATCTACTTTTCAACAAAGTTTCATGTGCAAGAAATGTGGACATTTTGATATTCCAGAGTGGTCTTAGAAATGTTGCAAACATATTTTGCAATTTTTATATTTCACTTTTTCGGTTGAAATATTTCTGAGATATTTCTGAAAAAACTTTCAGTATGGGTGTGCACATTGGATAATAATAAATTTATCCTATAAAAATAAAATATAATCTTGTGCAAAATAATGTAAATAAAAAATAATTTAAAAAATAAAAATAATTCTTCAAATATAAATAAATCCATTTTTTAAAATAACAAATAAGTAAGCCCGGATCCTCGCATAGACAACAACGCTTTGATATAGAGCGCTAATTGATAAAAAATTGGTTGTGAAGATAAAATTTACTTCCATCGTCCGGCCGTTTTTCACCAATCAGCGTTCGGTGTCAAATCGCTATTGCTCGTATGAGGATCCGGACTAAGTAATAAAAGTGCTGGTAAATAGAGTTCAAAACAGATTCTGGACAGATTGAAATTAAAATATTAATTAGTTGATAATACATATGTATAATAATAAATAATTACCTATATTGTAATAAAAATAAAAAATAGCCTCTCTCCTAAACAAGTCAATAAAATAAATGAAAATCACGGTGTTAGCTAATCCCTTGATGCTAAAGCGTTCAGTGGAAACGCATCTGTGTTTCTGGTTTGAACTTGATAAAGATGAATTCAGAATACAATTGCTTACCGAGCGATTGGTTCTTATTTATAAATCTATGAGTAAGAACCAATCACTCGGAGAGCAAGCTGCGTTCCGAAATCTATCGAAGAAAAAATGTTGCAATCTTTCTGTGACCGGCTGTACATATCTATTCTTTTTGGCTGCACTTTCAATACTTTTTTTTAATTTCCACCCTTTCCTCTCTTCTATATATTCTTCCATAGTTCTATATTTCGTAATTTAAATATCTGTGTGACTTATGCATTTCTAATGTATAAAGTAATGTGCTCTATGACAGTTAAATAGAATGTATTTACTATGGTGGTTTGCGGTGTATAAAATATACCTGACATCATTCGGTGCTCGTTGGAGGTTAAAGGGCTTTACACATAAAATGCATAACAGAGCATAAGCATAACATAAGACTGGACCAATGAGCATTTAATATAATGTCACCATATTGATCTACATAAGATTGGTTTAGTAGCCTTATGTTAAGGTACAATTTCATGGTGTTGCTTGTCGTAGCGATAAAAGATCACGTGACTAAATTCTTCCTCAATTTGCCCACTTTCTTGTCGCCAGCGACGCAAGGATCCTGTTTGCCTACAATCCCGATTGCATACATACCAGCTAATGCCTAGTAATTTTTTACTGCTTTATCAATAAGAATATTTTATTTTTAAATTAGCCAATTAGCGACGCATGTGTGCAACATGCACTATGGAGCAATTGGAGCCTTCCCGCTAGCGACACTGTTGAAAAGTTGGATTAATCCAACTTTTAGCGACATCGCTCTTATGCAAAGATTTAAACATTAAAGAACTAAAAAGAATACGGGCAGTAGGAATCAAGCGCAGAAGACATCGCGCAAATAATATAACTATGAAGTGTGAAACTTCTTTATTCACTAAACGCTAAGCTCCTACTGCTCGTATTTATTCCAATTCTTGGATTTATAAAGAATCTTGCTTAGTTTGATTTATAATACAAGTTTAAATATTAAACAGCAGGATGTAAATATAATAAAAGTATTTAAGCTATATTCCAAAACATCCTTTTCGAGAAAAATTTTATTTAAAATATATAGAAACATGTATACTGCAATATTTCGAGTACAATTTTTCTCAGAGAAGACGTTTTGAAATGTAGCTTTAGAATATGGATGTCATCACGAAACTTGATAAAAATATACTCATTCAATACGTTTCTATTTGAAATGAGAAAATATAGTAAAAAAATTAGATAATCTACCTTAAGCATCTTTTCTATTCAGGTTAGAAAAACGAGTTTTCTGACCTGGGCTACGTTCCAAAACTTCCTCTCCGAGGAAAATTTTACTCGGAATATATAGTACAACTTATATTATTATAGCATATAGAGTAAAATCTTCTTCGGAGAGGAAGTTCTGGAA